GAGAGCAGCCTGCAACTCCCTGAAGGGGGTTCCAAAGAGGACGGAGAGAGGCTGTTCTCAGGAGTGACAGGGGGGAGAACAAGGAGCAATGGGCTCAAGTTGCAGTGGGAAAGATCCAGGTTGGAGATGAGGAAAAACTCTTTCCTTAGGCGGGTGGGGAAGCGCTGGGCTGGGTTCCCTAGGGAAGTGGTGGAGTCTCCATCCCTACAGGTGTTTAAGTCTCGGCTTGACAAAGCCCTGGCCGGGTTGATTGAGTTGGGATTGGTCCTGCCTAGAGCAGGGGGCTGGACTTGACCTTCTGAGGTCTCTTGCAGCTCTATGGTTCTATGACTGAGGAGAAAGCCCCTCCCCACATTCCCCTCCCACACCAGAGCCTGGTGGGCCCAGCTAGTAGATTTTGTGCGCTCCAGACCCACGGTGGAGCACCAGTGGGGCTGGAGCACCAGCATGAACTGTCCACTGCTGGAGCGGAGGGAGCCCTGAGCCTTGGGAGCTAGATCTAGGCAAGCTGGGGCTGCATTTATCCCCCGATTCTGAGCTTCCCCACCCCTGATCTAGAGCAGCTTCATCACGTGCTGCAGCGCTAGAAGAGTGTTTGTGCCAAGATCAGAAGAATTCTCGAAAAAACCTGCCCCACAGAGCCCCAGGGTTGGGCTGAATCTTGAGAGAAATGGGCGGCAGGTCTGCGCCCCGCCCCCCACGAACCTTGGGAAGGTTTTAAACACTGTCGTCAGAGGATTAATAATAACGAGAGGTGGAAACGAGCGTAACCCCGGGCTGAAAAACTGGAGGATCAAGGCGCTTAAGAGGAAAACAAGCCCCTTCCGGCTCACTCGCCAGACACTCTGCTCAGCCAACTTCCCCGTAGGCCGAGCGGGAGAGGAATTCATTCTTCCAAGCCTGGAACGCCAGCCCCCTAACGACGCTGCCTGGGATTCAAAGAGTTTCCTGCCAGTGGCACACACAGCAAAGGGAGCAAGGGCTGTCGCTTCCAGACAGCGGCCACGACCGTAGGATTGGGCAGCGAGGGCAGAGCTCTCTTCTGGTCTGTGCCCGACGTCCCTCCGGCTCACGTTCAGGATTTCAGCCAGACGGCGGCAGGGGGAGAGAAGGGATTTTCCACACACTCTGGGATTGTCCCCACGCTCTGGATTCCGAGAGGGCTTCTCCCATCATCTGCCTCTTCAGTGCCAGGGGAGCCTGGAGACGGGCTTGTGGGCAGGGAAGCTAGGGGCTGGAGATGCACCAAAGCTTTCCCACTCCTGGCTGCTTGGCGGCCTGGTTCTTGATCCTCTGCTCTGGGTCTAACTCAGGGGTTTTCAACGTACAGGTTGTGACCCAGTACCGGGTCCTGGAAGGTCGGGCATCGGGCCGCACTGCTGCAACCTGGAAGTGGCCAGCAACAGGTCCAGCTCCTCGATGGGGGGCTGCCCCTGGCCTCAGCACCGACTCCCCACTGCCATTGGCTGGGTCCTGGCCCATGGGAGCAGCAGGGGGGGGGGGGGGGGCCCCCCCGGCCGG